GGCTCGGGATTGAAAGGTGAGCCGTTGTGGTAAGCTGGGTTTAGGGTTTAAAGCTTCTTCTTGAAAATACAGGGCTGTAATCATCCCGAGCCTCAGGTTTGACCCCATTAATCCCCTATAGACCCAATCGAGATCCTCCAACAAATTAGAATCGTCACCTGCGACAAGCCCAGCCCCGATCGACAATTAAGCCAGTTCAAGCCCCCTTGACCCCAGAACCCACAATGCCCATACCTAGACCTAGACCCAATCGAGATCCTTTATACCCAAGAGCTAGACCCAAAAAATATTAGAATCGTCACCTGCAACAAGCCCAGCCCCGATCGACCATTAAGCCAGTTCAAGCCCCCTTGACCCCAGAACCCACAATCCCCATACCTAGACCCAATCGAGATCCTCAACTTTATACCCAAGAGCTAGACCCACAAATTATTAGAATCGTGACCTGCAACGTACAATAGCCCCGATCGACAATTAAGCCTGGTCAAGCCCCCTTGACCCGAGAACCCACACGGCTACAGTAATCTCAACCCTGAGGCCTCAGCCCTAATTAATCAGACCTGAAGCCCGAACCGAGCAAAACCAGCATAAACCCCTGGACCTATATAGACCCGTCAGGATCGCCGTGGCACAGCATCGTTGATCGTCCCCATCGCGTTCCTGATCAGCAATTTCAAACGGAGGGGGGGGGGTTCCTAACTTCCGGTGCTCACCTCGACTGGCATCTGCAACTGAAACCCGCAGACCCTTCGACCCCGGAATCAACCGCGCCTCGAACTGGCATCCTCCGTGCGCGCAGCAGCAGCATCATCCAGTCTGCAACATTGTTGGGTTTGATATAGGGGCCCGGGTTCAATTAACATTTTTCTAGATGCGGATCGATACCGGATAATTAATGCCTAGAACCTAGTCTATAGAGCTGTAGGGAATTCTGCATGGGCGGGATGATTCGGGAAAAAGGGTTTCGGGTACATTCTGACACCCAGGCCCCCAAATCTTAAAACACTAACCACAATCTCTCCTATGCTCACGAAATCCGAAATCCCAAAACCTATGAAGTGAGCTGGGGTGAATAGGTGGGTCGATCTCAGGCACCAATTTGTAAAGTTATGAACCTACAAGCGCCCAAAGGCTAAGAGCGGAAGCATGGGTATATTTCGAGTCTATTACAATATAACAAAACCACAGCCCTAGCACCCTAAAGCCTAAAGCTTACAACACCCGAGCTAAAGCACTAAGGGGTTCGAGGAACCGCCTAGGGTGAAGGGGTTTCGGGTCTATAAAAAAACCACAGCCTTAGCACCCTAAAGCTTAACACACCCGAGCTAAGGCAAGGGGTTCGAGGAACCACTTAGGGTGAAGGGGTTTCGGGTCTATAACAAAAAAACCCACAGCCCTAACACCCTAAAGCTTACAACACCTGAGCTAAGGCAAGGGGGTCGAGGAACCACTTAGGGTGAAGGGGTGTCGGGTCTATTCAAAAAAAAAACACAGCCCTAGCACCCTAAAGCTAGCTTAAAACACCCGAGCTAAGGCATAAAAAAACCCCACAGCCCTAGCAACCCACAGCCCTAGCACCCCAAAGCTTGCAACACCCAAACTAAGGCAAGGGGTTCGAGGAACCGCTTAGGGTGAAGGGGTTTCGGGTCTATAACAAAAAAACCCACAACCCTAAAACCTAAAGCACCCGAGCTTAAAATACCTTAATCCTTAAACCCATCTCAGGCTAGCCTGAAGATGGGCTCATCCAGAAACCAGCGCCGGTCGTCATCGCCGTGGCTCGCGGGCCTGCAGAGCGCGTCGGATTATAAAATATTTATGAAGTTAAGCCCTTAAGTCCTAAACCCTAAACGGGCTCCTAAACGGGCTTAGGGATTAGGGTCGGCTGGTCGCGGTTTGGTTTCGGCCTCTTTACATGTAGGGTCTAATGGGGTTGATTAGGGAGACTGGGTTCGGGCTTAAACTATAGCTAAACTAAACTCGCCTAGCAACCAAAACTAAACCTCCCGGGGAGCGCTTGCTTTTCGAGGGAGTTTACGTCTACTGGTTCTAAACCACAAAACCCTGAATTTTCCTATCTATATTTATTAATTAGAGGCCGGCTTGCTTGGGGGGAGGGCGGGGCCGCAATGCGGCGACGTCGTCGATGTCATTGAAGACGACCAATCGTGATGAACCGCACGGTCGCGGAAGTCCATTTCCACTTCTCATACTTGGCGACATCATCTGCACCACTCAGATGAAGATGAATGGACTTCAAGCGCTTGCATGTGCCAGTGGTGTGCAGATAATGCACGGCACAATGCCCCAGCGGATCTCGCACATGTTCCACGAGGCTGGTCGATGGTCAGGTCCAACTGCCATTACCGCCGACTGGAACCGGTGCGCCGCTGTGCGGGGACCATTCTCGTTGTCAATACGAATGGTCGTTCCGGATCCCATTTACGCACCCTTGGCTTTCAGGGCGTTGGATCCACCGGAGAGGCGATGGTAGCAGCACTGTGCAACGACTTGCAGATCGAACCAAGCTCCAGGCTTGTAAGGTCAAGACAAAAAAACCCTAAACCCCAGACCCTCAATCGACATATATCGGGACGTATCAGATTAATCCAGGATTGCTTAAGGCCCAGGAATGAAAAATTGGCTACTTTCTGAGGCTTGGCCTGGCAGCTCCGGGGTTTAGGGTTCGGGGTTCCAGGTTTGGGGGTTCGGGTCCCAGGGTCAAGGGTCTTACGAGTTCGGGGTGTTTTAGGGTCCAGGCTGGGGGCAATTTATAATCCTGATAACCCTATTACCCTAAAAAGAACCCGAAAGCCTCAAAAGAACGGGGTTTGGTTTTAGGGTGCAGGCTGGGGGCAGCTCAAAAAAAATCCTGACAACCCGAATTTAAGCTATTACCCTACGGGCCCGAAAGCCTAAGAAGAACCCGAAAGCGGGTCGTAAGAGGTCGGGGTTGGGTTTTAGGGCCCAGGCTGGGTTCAACCTAATAATCCTGACAACCCGGCCTATGGGTTTTAGGGTCCAGGCTGGGGGCATTATTATTCGTGGCAACCCTAAACCCTAAAAAGAACCCGAAAGCTGAAACCTAAGCGGAGATCCGAAACCGAAGCTCTGAACCCAATCCCAAGCCTAGTAACCCAAGACCAGAATATATCGATATCCCCGACCCTACAGAATAAAGCTAAGTGCACGGGGACAATGCAAGTCCCAGCCTAGATATTGCATAGCGCTGGACCTCTGCAGAAAACCCTAAAACCCGAAAGCCTCCCAATAAGGACAAATCCTAAAACCCTGAGCCCTGCCGAATAGAAAAGCCTAGATCAGAAAGACCTTCAATCCCAAAAAAACCCGAGACCTATACCCTGGACCCGAAAGCCTGAAGGGAAAATCCCGAAACTCCCGATCAGACTAAATCCCAAAACCCTGCACCCAAGCTGAAGCCATTTATTAATCCGGCTTGCAGGCCATTAATCTATTGCGAAAGCCTAAACCCCTAATGCGGATACCCCCGAACCTAAATAACCTTGAACCCGCCCGAACTGCCAAAACACTCCGGCGCCTGAAGCCCTGCTCAAACCTTGAATCTATAAGGCCGTTAACCGTGAACCCCAAATCCTTATTTCACAGGAAATGCAATCCAACGGCCCGGAAGCTTAAACTAATAACCCTAAACCCCTGAACTACCCCGAAATGTCACCGCGACCTGCTGGCCTGCTCGAACCTCCGGATCCACTCGACGCCTGCACCAGCTAAGGTATATGCGAGTTTCACACCAGCGCTTGCACACGACAGAGCCGGCTATCAGAGGTGAACAAAAATCAATGATCGAAGCTTTGCCTCCACGATCTTCTGCTTCTTGGGCAGCGGATCACCACGGGCCTGCATGCATCAGATTGGGCATTTGTTGTTTGTTGGTTCGAACTGTAGAGCTTTAAAGCTTCACTGCGGATAGTTTCGAACTTACCCGATCGAAATTTCACAATTCTGGAAACCCGAGCCTCGTCCAAAATAAGTCTCGTGAGAATCAGACTCTTCCATTTGTCCAGCTCCTGTGCCAGGATCGGTTCTGTTATGGACTTCAGTGTTGTTAACAGCAACATGCGCATATTAAGCCCCAGTGTCTGGCAGCCAAGCACGCCGGGGACGCATAAAGTTAGGATCGGGAGGGGCCGGAATCGAAGAGGTGCATTCCTTGATCAAACGAGCCTCCAAAACACATTGGATCTCGTCGGCACGCACCTGCTTTTCCAGTTTCCACGTTCTGCCTTGAGGGTCCATGGCGGGGTCGATCTACGTGCTGCCTTATATTAAATTGCGCAAAATCAGTTTTCACATACCTGCTTCTAGAGCATGCGGGCACACATGAGGATCAGAAGCAGCTGATGAAGGCGGCATGCGAGAACACAGAGGTTATTCGAACCCAGAATGAAGCCGAAACATGACAGTTACAATGACAACTGCCTATGGAAAACCCATCATTTACAGCACTTTCCGCTGCTGTAGTAAATGTAGACCCCAAACCCATCACTTAGAAGGCCCTGGATAAGGATCCTTCTATTTCGGGTTCTTTTTTTGGGGTCCCTATTTTCGGAAACTCCCAATTGGGGTACCCGAGATCTCTACAAATCATGGTACCCCCAGCCTTTAAGAGCTTAGATCTATAGCCGCGAAAGCCCAACCCCAAGACTCACGACAGAACCGGTAGTAAACTTTCCTTAGCCCAGCCAAAGCCCTTATAAACCCCACACGACAGAGGTTTGAACCATGAGTAGCTATCTCACCTTGCAGCCCCTAAACAACTAGACAGCAATATTCTGATGCTCCAAAGCCATATATCTCGACAAAACATCCCTATATTGAACTCTCATAAGACTCACGAAACCCGGAAGGATCCTGTAAGACTCTTCTTGAAGCCTATACAACTCTGACTCATACGCCGATAGGGATCCCCATAGAAGGCTACCCGACTCTTCTTAAACAGCCATGTGCTGCTCTACGAGGTCGCCAGCAGTTTCCAACTGCAGGGATCCCTGGACTTCCACGAAACTCGGCGTCTCAATGGTGACCTGATTAAGAAACCCTGGGCCTACAACTGTAGGGCTCATATAAGGAACCCTAATAAAGGCCCAAGGTTTCTTAATCAGGTTCCTACATGAAGGAAATAAAGCGTCCTCGGCTTCTTTTAAGGGTTCCTCCTATGTTTACTCTGCCAAAAGGACTCCTTAAAGACTTTTGCTGAAGTTCTTTATGGGAGGCTACTTGTTACTTGAAATGGTTGCTTTACGGGCGCTTTAAGGGAGGAAAAGGGTCCCTGAGGGGTTGACAGAGGTTCTGAAGGGTTTCTACACGGTGAGCTGGGATCTACCGCAGACAGCGGCTCCAGAAACAAATGAGGCTTTAGGATTGTTATTATGGATGAAGGCTCGGAAGGATTTCTTCAAGCGTGTTGATGGGATTTGTACGATTTTCTGGGGTTTTCTAAGTTTGTACTCGGTGTTGATAAGAGTGTTATTTGGATGTCATGCGGGGTCATGCAGTTCTCTTCAGGGGTCTTGGGGTTATAGGCTTGGAGAGCTTCGTTTAGGCGTTTAAGGCTTGGGGTTGTTTGCGGGTTTGGGAATTATAGTTAAAACACCTAAAGCCAAAGCCTGAACCCCAGAAGCTCGAAACCCCCAAACCACAACAATCCGCAGAGACTCTAAGTACCTTCAAGTACGGCAAGTTGCCTCAATGCGTGTGCACTCCGCGTAAGATACAAGGGCTGGTCTTGAAAAGGGTCATATAGAGTCTCGAAAGCCCTACAAAGCTCCATAAAACCCTGAAAAGACCCCAAAGCCAAAGCGCTAGGTTGATTCTTAACGCCCTTGCTATTCGGCTCCAGGGCTTTGCGCTCTTTAACAGAAGGCCAAGCAGTGTTCAAGCCCACCAAGGTGCTTGCAGACATAGAATACGGTTCACGAGTGTACTGTAAAATATATAACATATGATATATAGACAGTGATATTGACATTCACTTTGCCGCCAAACCTCAAAACCTCAAGCGTTTTGGAAACCCTCTTTGGTTGCCATTAAGAAACTAATGACCCGTAAAGTATCCCTGTTCCTTGAACCCGGAACCCATCCTTCTCAACCCAAATCTTGGCCCAGAAGCCCACCTAAGATCTAGGAATTGTGGTTTGCCGAAGTCTTGTTATTACAGGGATCCTGCAACACCTCTACGTCGTGTTTTCTACGGGATTTAAGGTTTTGGGTTTCGGTTTTAAGGTTTGGGGTTTTGGGTTCGTCAAAACTCTTCTTCCTGAATGCATACCCTTCACCCCGGGAGGCTTCTTGTGCAGGTCTTTGTTAGGCCCAAGGCCTTAAACCCGCAGCATCCTCCGACTCCAGGCGGCACCTCAAGTCCTCGCAATGGCTGCGCACTCTTTTGGATGTCTAATCCCCAAACCAGACGCCGATGAGGAAACGACCCCACCTGCATCCCTATGCCAAGGACCTGAACGAGGACGGTGAAGTTACGCAGGCGAGCCGTCGTTTCAGGGCTTCCGTTTTAGAGTTGACATAGGGAAGCAGGGAGTTGGGCTGAGGGACCTCGTCAAGCCTTCGCCTCGATCGTGCGAGTGGTTTAATTCCTTACCCTAGCACCACCGCAGAGTCCTTCTTCGGTGAGAAACCACGCAGCGGTGGGAAGTAATGAGTTTGCAGCAAAGAGGGGAGAAAGAAGGAACAAGCCAGGTCCTTGCAGCCGAATCCTACGAAGCCCGAACCCCAACTCCTTCTATCCCAAGTCCCACGAGCATCCTTTATATGAACCTCATGAAGCTTACCTGTGGCCGAGGTTCTTTAGAGTTCCTTCTTCTGAGTTCCTCATACTATATCCTTGAGGCTTAGTAGTCGCGCTTTCTTGGGTTTGATGGCCTAGAATGATAGATTCTTCAGTAGCCATAGGGCTTTAAAGGTTCATAAGATGTGGTTTGACAGTTTAGGGTTGAAGGGCTTTTAAGGCTCAAAGCTGGAGAAGGCCGTTTAAAGTAGGGCTTCAGAGTTGTTCGCGCTTGCTTCCCTAGAAGCTGAATGGATACACTTTGCACTTTTTGGGATAATATTGCCCACTATAAAACTCAAAGTGTACACTTTTGGGGGTTTATGAACTCAGCAACTAAGCTTCGGGCGTTGAGTAAAGCTTGCCGCTGAGCAGGCCGAGTTCGAGTCCGCCTTCGCGAGTTGGCTGATGACCGAGGCCTTGGCTATGTCTCTGTGGGTTCGGTTTGTTTGTTTTTTGGGGGGGACTTTACAGTCTACCAGGACATACCAGGACGAAAGGGGAATAGAATCACTTTTGATGGGCTTTTGAGCCATGGTTTTTGTCAGGGGTTGGGGATCTAGTAGGGTTCAGGGATTGAGGTTTGGGGATCTGACAGGGTTCAGCAGTTCAGTTAAGGCACAGAAATCGTTGCCTACTTGGGCACACCAGGTCGATGCGGTTTCATCCGGTTTAGGAGCAAACTCTGCAGCTCTCGATTCAATCCGCAGAACTTGCACTTCTGAACATTAGGCATCCCTGCGACCAGGACCTAAGACCCACACCCGGACGTATTGAGGCCTCCCGAAATTCGACACCCCGTCCTAGCATCCTCCCTGCGCCCCGTTGAACCAATGACACGAGCTTCCCAGCTCTAAGCCTTGTAATTTCTCAGGCCGTGGTACACCAGGAGAAGCAAGCCCGGAAGACTGTCAAGCATTTAGAGCGCCTGCCTCAGTTCCCAGTGCAAACTGTGGAGGACATGATGTCTTAAGTAGACGATGAAGGGGCGGAGGAGGAGAAGGAGGAGCAGGAGGAGGGCAAGAATGAGGATGGCGACACGTCATGAATGCCGGGTGTGTTTCATTAAAAGCTTATCGCAACTGCTGCTAAATTAGAGGAACTGCGCCTTCTCCCGGAGACCATAAGCGGGCCTTGCCCGAAAGCGTTCCCCCAAGCTTGTCCAATTGGCTATCGCTTAATCTCCTGAACCCAATCTCTGAGACTGTAAAGCCGTCAACCTGAAACGTTTCGAACACCGAAACCCTTAAGTCCCACGCCCTCAACCGTAAATCAGAATTGAAAGGCCACAGCATGTCCTCAACCAAACGAAACGTGAGGGTCCTCCTTACATTAAGCTCGTGGTGAGAAACGCTAAACCTTAAACTTAAAACCGTAGCTCTACTTACCCAGAGGGAACCCTTTGGATTTTGTTGAACAGATCGAGCAGCTTCAGATGGCCTTAAGGGGAGCTTCGGGTGTCTCTCCAAGGTTCAGTTTTAGGGTTCAGGTTTCGGGTTCAGAGTATGAGCAAATCACGTTTCGCCAGTTGTACTGCTACACAGACATTTGGAATTTAGAGGAGGCTTCCATGTGTTAAATTCCAAGGCCCGAGCCCAATCTTTCGCGTGTTGCGAGGTTCTAAATTCGGCAGATTCGGACCGACGTGCTCTGCTTCAGCCAAGTCACATAAGAGGCGTGCGCTGGGAGTTGTTTAAATTGCGCAAGTGGTTCCAAGCATTTAAGGACTTCTTCGTTTTCTTAGTTTGAAGTGGTCCTGTGCAAGACCCATGCTTGCTTTATTTGCTGAATTTATATACATATCTTCTTTAACTGGGAATATATATATATACTTTTGCATGGAAAGCTGGACACTCCATAAATATAAATATGTAATCAATATTTCTTGAATCCGATTAATGGTAATACAGAGAATAAATATATATATAGATAGATAGATAGATATTATCTATTTGTATATATATATATATATATAGACGATTTCTATATCATGAATAAATTATATTTTCGACATTTTGAATTAATAATACTATCAATATATATATATAAGATCCTTCGAAATAACGGTAATTTGATTTTATATATGACGAGATATATTACGTGTATATATGAATAAATAGAATGGATCTTAAGTTAATTGACAATATACTTTTCAAATATATTATATTTTCTAGAATATACTATTATTATTAGGTATTGTTTATTTGACAAATTAGACTAAGTCTATTTTCTAAATATATTAGATATAGATAAAATTAATTCTGAATATGAATTTACTCGAAGATTTATTATATTGAAAGATCTATTATAGAAGGTTCTGGTATTAATAGATTGTTGATATTCATTGATTTTTTTTATATATTTCATGGATATAATTTGGATATTTTATTTCTCTTGAATCTTTTTTTTTCATAAATTCTTTATTGAATATATGAAGAGTATTAG